ATTTCATATTTGCCTCTTTTGCCAGCACCAAGTCAGCCTCATCTGAATCTTTCTATTTCACAAGAAACATCAATTCTCCACTACTATCTGTGGCGCCAATTATTCGTTCAGGATCAAGACCTCTAGCAAAACCTCTAGGTTTGTCAGCAGCATCTCTTTTTTTCTTTGACTTGCTGTCATCAGATTCATTGTCAGATACTTTCTTTTTGTACCATCTTTTTCTTTATCAGCTTTTTGCAAATTAAGAAATGCTTAAATTAACTCTGGACAATCTAAATTTTCTTCAGGTTCCCATGTATTGTCAGCATCTGTAAATCCCTTTCACTTCAGAAAGTACTCCACCTTCCCATTCACTACACGTCGGTCCAGTACTTTCTCTACCACAAACTCTTCAGGTTCTGCTTCCTCAACTTTTTTACTTTTTCCATTTTGTTTCTTCCCCTTTTTTTACAATGTAGTTTTATTGGAGGCCATTTTTTACTGCAGATTTGAAGAGTTTACCACTTCGGACGCTCGGATGCTCGGACGCTCCGTCGTAGGTCCGCAGTCTCAGCCAGCGCGCCTGCAGCTCCACTCGCACCCGAGCGCAGCGCATAGGGGTCTTTGAAGATGAACACTTTTTCTGTATACCAAGATTTACCTTATGCTAGATTCTTAGAAGTAAAATTACTAAGTGGGGAATATGATTTTTATAGTCATTTGATGTACATCCTTAATTAACCACTAGATTGTCTCCATCCATGTTCTCCTTCCTGATATGTGAAAATATACAGTTTATCCTGTGCAGCGACTTTTTGAATCCAATTCCATGGTGGCCTGGATTTTCTTTTCTCAACTGCTTTCTTTTTGCCAATCTTTGCAATGAATCTGCTCTTCAGTAAAATCAAGAGAACTCTGGGGTCACAGAAATGAGCAACAGCATGTGCTGCCAGAACCACAGAAAGCAAAATAACCGACCTCATAAAACCATTTAGTGAGCTGATGCTAGAATAGAAGAGAAGGGCAGGGCGTTGAAGGAAGTTCTAAAACTACTAGAAACAAACTGAGCAGAGTTTTACGCATTCACAATTCACTTTTAAAATGATGAGCAAGTTCATTGGATTAAAGCTCCTGCTTAGCAGACGCAGGAACTGGGGTTCAGTCCCCAGTGATTGAGACTGGGTGCCTGTAATCCCAGCACTTGGGAGGCTGGAAACAGGAGAATCACTATGAATCCAATCTATATAGTGAGACCCTGTAGACCCTGTACTAAATACAAAAAAAAAAAAAAGCAGACCATTGGTGATCTGCAAGCACCCACAGTGTCTATTAGCATTGATTTCAGTAAGGCTGCCTTGGGGCTGTAATCTCGTTTCTGCCAGCTGGCAGCCCTGCACAGGGAGGTGGGACATTTAGCAGAGGGTGGTGCTTACTGCAACCACTGGGAAAGAAGACAGACCATCTGCTTCTCTTTTTTCCAGCAAGCCATGGACATCTTGGGTTTTCTTCCTGAGGAGAAGTGTGGGTGCCTTAAACTCATTGGAGCCATCATGCATTTTGGAAATATGAAATTCAAACAAAAACCCAGAGGAGAGCAACTGGAAGCAGATGGCACAGAAAGTAAGGACTACTTTGAAGACTGACTCTTATGTCTATTCGAATTTTGATTCTAGGCCTTTCCCTTTGGCTTTACAGGTGATCTCCTGTCTATGTTTTTAACAAATGTTGAAAAAAAATCAATATTATCTCTCTCAACTACTGTTTTGAAAAGTATTTTCTTAATCATCATTCTGATGTTCTAGTTCCCTATTGCAGAATAAGGACCATCTCACAAACAATAATTGATGAATAATTGGTGAATTTCCTATACTGACATGAAAAGGGGCTGACTAAGACTGTAATTTTAACCCATACACTGGGAAAAACAGAAAAAGGAACGAGTTATTGTGAATGTATTAAGTGAAAAAATGAAGGTGTGACTGTGAACCTTTGGAATTTCAAAGGTGCAGTAACTGCACAGGAATGGAATGATAAGAATTTATTTTCTGTTGGGTTTAACATATTCCATTAAACTTGGACTGGGGCCAACAAGATAGCTCAGCAGACTGCTAAGGCAAGTGCAGGGACTGGTATGATCTCCAGCACTAGTTGTACCAACCCCACCCCCGGGCATGTTGAGCCGGCCACCAAGACTGGGTGTAGTGCCTCGTACGTGTAATCCCAGCATTAGAAGGCTGAAAACAGGAGGATCACTGTGAGTCTGAGCTGCATAGTGAAACCTTGTACCAAATACATTTAAAAAAAGAAGAAGAAGAAATTTGGACTAGCTACAATGTTTCTAGCAATATAGTGTATTTTATAAACTATTAAGTTAGGGGATATAGCCCCATGATGAGATAGCAGCTGTTTAAATCTTACAATTTTTTGTCCTGCAACTATATTTTGGGTTCATGTGTCCCAAAAAGGAATAAATTTGCCTTCTTGTGCCAAAATGTAAAAAAATCTAGAGTTTTACCAGCTTACTAAATGTATTTGAGGTATATCACAATTAATATTCTGTCTACTATGACCCTTAAGTTAGAAAAACACAAATATGCACACAAGAAAGCTTAGGAGTAGTCTTTGCCTTTACTACATTTAACATAAAAATTCCTTACAATTGAAAGAAAAAGAGCAAACACATTCATTCCAATCTTTCAGCAAATTTTTAACATTTTATATTTTAACCACCGTGAAACATAAATAACACAAAATGTGCCATTTTGAATTGTACAGTGCTATAGTATTAATTACATTCACATTGTAGTGTAGCCGTCACTTCTGTCATATCATAGCGCACATGCATATGTTGTTCCTTTTGTGGCTGAGGAATATTCCCTTGTATGAATACATTGCATTTTCTTTATTTACTAGGTGATAGCCATCTGGTCACCCTTTGACTTTTTTACTTTATGAGGAATGCTGCTAGAAACATTGTGTACCACCTTTTGTGTACTTATATGCTTAATTTCTCATAGGTATATATGAAAGAGTGAAACTACAGGGGCCTATACTAATTCTCTGGCTCACTTTTGAGTAATCGCCAAGCTACTGTGTGTAGAGGCCAACTCATGACGAGATTTTCATTTTCTTCACACTCTCACCATCTCTCATTGTCTACATCTTTTTGATTATAGGCATCCTACAGTGGTTATGAAGTGGCATTTCAATGCCAGGTTTTTTTGTATCAAAAAAATACATTTCCTTAAACAGTTCAGACTCAGTCACTTATTTGAAAACTATGATTTGTTTTGTTACATTAACTTAATCACAGTGTCTTTCCATTCTCCAGGTAGGGGCTTCAGCTGAAAATGAAATGAAATGTTATAGTGCTTTCCTTTTCCCTTCACTCTCCCTTTGTATTTTAATTATTATTATTTTATATTTTAGGACAGGGTCTACAGAGTCTCACTATGTAGATCGGACTTGTAGTGATTCTCCTGTTTTCAGCCTCCCAAGTGCTGGGATTACAGGCTCATGCTACCATGCCCAGTCTCAATCGCTGTCTCAGCACGCCCCCAGGGTGCGGATGGCAAGGCATGGCATGCCGGGGGATGGGGTATGTCAAACCCCAGCCGCTGCACTCTGCCTAGGCAGGCGCTTTAGTCCACTGAGCTATCTGGCCGGCCCTCCTTCACTCTCTTTTCCTTTTCTGTGGCCAGGTGCTGACAAAGCTGCTTTCCTCATGGGCATTAGCTCCTCTGAGTTGGTGCAAGGCTTGACTCGTCCTAAGATGAAAGTTGGCAATGAATACGTTACCAAAAGCCAAAACGTGGATCAGGTAAGATGCGATCACCCTTCACTTGCTGTGACCAACTCCTTGGTTGTCTGCCTAGGAAGCTTTCAAAGCTTTTGATTTTTTTTTTTTAAATAGTACTGCTCATTTTATTTAATTAATTTATTTTTTAAATTTGTGTGTGTGTGTGTGTGTGTGTATGTGTGTGTGTGTGTGTCCAGCTCAGCCCTCCAGGGGGCGGGGCTGGCTGGCATGTGGTGCTGGGGGATTGAACCGTGGTCCCTGTGCTTTGCTTAGCTTAGCTTGTTCTTTGTAGGTGCTTTGACCACTGAGCCATCTCACCAGCCCAGCTTTTGATTTCTGACATGAATCAAATTGGTAAACTTCATCCCTTACCTACTTGCCATAATGAGTCCTTTACTGTAACAGATGCGAAGTGGCATGTTAGCTGAGAAAAGGTCTCTGAACATATGTTGAAGGCAGTATTTGAAGAGATAAGTAGTACATACGTGAGAGAAGAAATGTTATGCATATTTTTTATTCAGAAAAATTTTACAATGATGGAATAACAAATGCTCTGAGGACATCTTGAAGCTTTGCCTTAATGCAATAAGTATTGCCTGGGCTAATGGACAAAATAACTAAATGAGTTTGCTAATATACTTCAAAATAATAATTTTCCGGTGTACATTAGTCTGTGTCATATAGGTCACATCAAACAAATACATTAAAATCTCAATAATTAGAAAATATTTCTTGCACTAAGAACAATATGAAATGTACAACCTCTGTTCATTTTGTGGTTATGTTGTCTGGGATACACGGCTTCCCAAGTTGCTGCACTGGTAGGCCAAGTAATCTGTGGGGGAACTGTAGTCATCTCATGGGCATAGGGTAGAGAACAGACCTCTTCCTTTCATTTTTCTTTGGTGAGAATTATATTATCCTCATTTCTGTGAAGGAGCTCAGAAATGTGGTTTTTGTGGAAAGATGCAAAGGCGCAGTGAAATGGTACCTTGTTTCTGTTACATGTAATATATGGAAAACATTCACAGTTATTATCCCCTTCAATTCTTATATTTTATGGAAAATAAGTGAAGTAAAATTTTATAATGAAACAGTAGGAGAATAATGATAGTTAATACATTGAGTGTTCTTATCTTTAAAGTAGTTATTCAGAGATCTGGGTAAGATAATAGTATTAAAATTTTTCCCAATTGATATTAGCATAAGCCTTCCCTTTCCAAGAACCAAGAGACACTAATAGTACAACTGACTTGCTATTGTTTTATTTTCACTTCTGTCCTTTCTCCTCTCCTTCATCCTATTCCCCTTTGCCTTTTAACAATTTCTTCCCATCTCACAATTATCTATTGTATATTTTAGACTTCATTCATTCTTTCAGTTTCTTACACCAGGAAAACAATACTACATTTGTACATGTGAGTCAGATTTATTTCACTTATGAGTATGGCCTCAAGTTGCATCCATTTACCTATAAAAGTCTCAAGTTTATCCTCCTTTATGTCTTAGTAGTACTCAATTGTATAAAAATACCACATCTTTTTTTTTATCCATTTCTCAGGCTCTTCCGATCTGGTTGTTTCCAAGATTTAGCTATGGCCATTTGTGCTGCTATAAATATTGTTGCACTATATTTCTGTGATCTGATGTTTTTAATTCTGGGAAGTTACCCAGAAATGGAATAGTTGGGTCAAATGGGACCTCTAATTCTAGCTTTTTGAAGAATCTGTATACTAATTTCTATAGTAGCTGCACCAGTCCACATTCGCACCAACAGTGGAGAAAGGTCTCTTTTTTCCCACAGCCCCTCCAGTATTTATTATTGATTGATTTCTTGATGATAGCCATTCTTTCTGGGGTGAGATGGAATCTCAGAGTTGTTTAAATTTGTATTTCTATAATGACCAATGATGCTGAACATTTTTTCACATATTTATTTGCCATTTGTATTTTTTCATCTGAGAAGTATGTATTTATCTCAGATGCCCATTTTTGTACTGGGTCTTTGCATTTGGAGGAGTTCTGATTTTTGTTTCAGTTCTATATATGTTCAAGATACAACTTTGTCTTAGAGAAAATTGACTCAAAGATTTTCTTACTCTGTGAGTTGTATTTTCACTTTTCTGGTGATTTCTTTTAATGTACAAAATCTTTATAATAAGATGGGATTCCAGTTGTTGATTCTTCGAAGATTTCCATGCTGAGTTTTGCATGGAAAAACTCATGAAATCTCTTCCTACACCTATGTCTTCAAGATTTCTACCTACTTTCTTCTCCAGTAGATTTAGTGTTTCTGTTTTAATAGTTGGGTCTTTGATTCATTTTGCCTTCAGTGCATGGTGATAGACATGATTCTAATTTTAGTCTTTGGTAGACTCAGAGATAAATATGACAGGAATACTTATGTTTTTTCCATTTAAAGTAACTGTGGCTAAGACAATGTAGGGAATATTCTAAAGATCATGCAACTAGTATTCATGTGACCCTCACATGATGTTATAGTGCATACATCTCACATATAGAAAATAGGCAAATGTACAAATCTGTGGTAGAAGACAGGCATTTCTATTTCATGAAACTCTGTAAACTCTGTCTACCTGGTTGTATTAAGGTATCTAATGCATTTATGTTGTTTAAAACATTTAAATAATAAATCAAAATCAATTTTGTTATTAGTTTACTCTATAAACCAATAAATCTACCTCTGTTGTAATACTAATTGTAGTGCATTGAAATAATTGTCTATGTTTTGCCATCCCTGACAGCCTAAGCATCTTGAAGTCAAGGGCTGTATCTAGTTTATCCTACTCTACCAGCATCCAGAAGACTGAGCTGCAATTCATAGATGGTCCACAAATGCTAAAATAGTTTATATTGAGCAGAACCTGAGTTATGATTAGCATCATAAGTAATTTGAGCTATTTATTGGCATTGATTTTAGAGGTATTTGCTAGTAGCTTTTTGGTACTTTCTTAGACATTTTGCATAACATGTGACATGACATGTTATTATTGTTGAACAGGACCTCTTTCTTTATAATATAAGATGAGCCCACAGGAAGACTAAAGTCAAAGTATTGCCTTTTTAATATGTGTTCTAGGTTCTTGACATCACTTCAGCCTTTGCTGTAATAAAACCAGGGAAGCAAGCTAGTATATTATTATTAAACTTAAAAAACCTTGTTTTTTCTCTCTGTTCTTGAAGACAGCATGGTACTGGTAGGTGCTTTCTTTCCTTAGCAATTTTACTGACTTTATTTTTTATTATTTTCTTTTTTGGTATCAGGGATTGAACTCAGAACTTTATGCTTGCCAGCCAAACACTTATGCCAGTGAGCTATCTCCCTAGCTGTACTAACGTTGTAGTCAACTGACACTGCTAAGGATAGGCTCCACAAATAGGAATTTGGCCTCTTTCTTCTCCTTTCATGGGATGGAAAGTCATGAAAAGAATTACAGTTGTTATTTAGTAAGAGTTTATTGGTTTGTAGGTTTCATTAATTTGCTCAGCAGGCACTGACCTGGCTCTGTCGCCCTCTGCCTAAGTCTCTAGGTTTTCTTCATATTTCTCATACTTGATGAAACAGCTCTGTTCTACCCCTTGAGTGTTTAGGAAACTAAAAGTTTCAGCAAGTTAGCCATGTTTTTTTAATGTTTCAAACTGACTTCTATGGACAGTAATTTCCTCTTGATTATAGGAGATGAAAATCGACCTGATACTTTTTTGTACAGTGCATTCTTGCAGCTAATTGTAATGAAAAACTGTTGCCATTGGCTTATGGATTTCTGTGGCAATGACTCAGAATAACTGATCAGAGAGTAGGTGATGTGTAACTAAATCACCACCAATCGCTCTGTTGCATGCCTTCTCCTTATCAGGAGGATGGATGTAATAGGTATTGCACACTGGAGCACATACTGTTTCCAGACTTGGAGAATGTCCAAGTGAAAATCACTCCCACTGGAAGTCTGTGGGAAATCTACTACCACAGTAGCACTTTTCAACTGTGGAAACAAGTTCTGTATTTATGTAGCATCATCCAGGGACCAGAGTTTAGAGCTCTTCAGTAGGTTGTGTGAGAGTCTTTGCCATAGCCATCCAGGGAAAGAGAAAGCTTTCTTATTTTGACAGTAAAAGAATCTGTCAGACTGCTGTGGCAAAATGTCATCATCCTCCATTTGTGGGGGTAAGAGCCACCCTGGGAACTATTACAGTCAGGAGATAGAACCCAGGGCTGTAGAGGCCAAATATTATACAGCTCATAAACAGCAACAACAGGAGCCTCAGACAAGGTCTAGGGATTGCCAGGTTTCTAGTTTACTGTGTCAGCACTTTGCAAATCTGGTGCATAATGACAAAAAAAGGACTTATTCTGGCACTTTTTAGAGTGTTAGTGAAGGTTTTATTCTGGTAAAATTCAATAGAGGTGTTAGAAGAGAGGAGAGATATTGGGCTCAAGTCCCAGTACAATGAGGACAAGGGGATATATAGACAAAGAGCAAAGGGAAGAGGACATTGGATGGAAAACTACTAAGAGAAGACATCAGGGTAAGAGAATGCTTGCTGAATGGACTTCCCATGTTTCTTTTTAAAGGAAAGCTAAGAATTTATTTATTTATTTATTTATTTATTTATTTATTTATCTGGCAGAACCGGGGATTGAACTGAGGCCCTTGCTTATTCTACTGAGCCATCTCCTCAGCCCCAAGAAAGCTTAGCATTTATATGGGGAGATAGGACATAGGGAATGAAGAACACAATCATATGTCAAAAGTGGAGATATTTTATCTAAAGCGATTGACTCTAAAGCAGGATTCTGGCTGCAATGGGTTATACAGGCCAAAGAGAAGTCAATATTAAGTCAGAGGAGCCTACTTAAAGTTTGTTCAAAAAAGTTTTTGTCAATAGCAAGCAGCAGGGGTTGATGTCAGATTAGTTAATTCAGTTAGCCTTGGACAGTGCTTTAGCTGAACATTTTTATCTTTTATAGATCTCAGGAGATGCCCATATTGTAGGATTTAGGATCCCATTTTGAATAGCAGCAAGGCTTTTAGAGTACATTGGCTTCCACAGTTCCAGACCATTTTGTCCGTTAGTAATAGGATCACAGTTTCAGTCAACTATGTTTTTGATAGGAAAAAAGCAGACTAGCTCACTACTTTCTCCTAGACTTATCTTCTGCTTTTCTTTTCTGCTTTTCTTTCTCTCTTCTCTCCTTTCCTCTTTTACTTATTTCTTTCCTTTCATTATACTCATCAGATATTAGAACCACAGGTCAATAAATACATCATGATATAACTAAAAGGTGTTTACTGATACACAATGCTCAGTATTAAAACAAACCCTGCTATCAGATAAACAAATATTTTTGCTGTGATTTCTAGGTAATCTCTGCTGTTGGTTCCCTGTCCAAATCAATATATGGAAAGTTGTTTCAGTGGCTGGTGGCTCGAATCAACAGAGCTCTGGATGCCAAGCTGTCAAAGCAGCTCTTCATCGGCATTCTTGACATCACTGGTTTTGAAATCCTTGAAGTAAGTATATGTGGTAAGAATAAAGCCAATACATATTTAAATGAGTTTAGAAAATGTGACTAGAACATGGGAAAATGAGCTCAAAGCACTATAAGGGTCGCATAGTCCAAACCCAAGGGCCATTTTAGTCAGAAAAGAACTGTAAGTAATATTAATAGTAGTAGTACTACTATACTTAATGTTAAAAACTAAACTTCTTAATTCATCCTTAAAGGTAAGTAGAGGTAAATAAATCTTTTGTAATTCTTATAATTATGTGCTATTTTATACTAATAATCTTTAGTTTCTAAAAATATCTGAAAGAGCTACAAAATTAATTTGTGGGCCGGCCAGATAGCTCAGCAGATTAAAACACGTGCTTAGGCAGATGCAGGGACCGGGGTTCAATCCCCAGTGAGCAGTGCTGGTCATGCCCGCAGGGAGGACTGAGACAGTGATTGAGAATGAGCGTGGTGGCATGTACCTATAATCCCAGAACGTGGGAGGCTGAAAAGCAGGAGGATCACTACAAGTCCAATCTGTGTAGTGAGACCCTGTACTAAATACATTAAAGAAATTAATTTGCTTTTTTATTGACTGGGTTTATTTGGCATCATATGATTATGGTTATGGTTTTAGTATGTGTTCTTTAATATGTATTCTAGCAATTGAACCTCCATTTTTGACTCTTCTTTCTACATATTCATATTTTTGAAGTGTAATAGCCTCGAGCAACTTTGCATTAATTTTGCCAATGAAAAACTACAGCAGTTCTTTAATCAGCACATGTTTATTCTGGAGCAAGAAAAATATAGGAAAGAAGGCATTGACTGGGTGTCCATTGACTTTGGTCTAGATTTGCAAGCCTGCATAGATCTCATTGAGAAGGTAATGCATAATTCTTTTCTTGCCCATTTTCACTTAAGGAAAATTGTCTCTGCATTCCATGTTAACACATCAACTTCTTCCAGGGATAGGAAATGGGGCTAGAAAATCCTGCATATTTGCTATTTATCGTCTTTGTGGGCAGCACCCATGGCATCCTGTGTAAGCGCTTACATCGACTCCCCTGTTCTACCATCTCTAATGCAGACTGTTGCTGTGCTTCCTCAGCTTGCAAAGCCTCCATCATTTGCAAATGAGGATATTTGACAGTATTAAAAATGGCTATGTTCTTAACTAGGAAAGTCACAGGGCTGAAAATGTGAACACTGTAGGGCCTGGCTGGCTAACATAAGGTGAATGGGTAGACCCAGTGAGGCTTAAGGAAATCTGACAAATTAGCATGAAAACAAACAACTGCTGTAAATCCTTAAGGTCACTGCCTTTCAGATACAGTTCATTCATTTAATGGGACAAATACCAGTTAGTATAAATAGTATATGACAATATTTCATGGTTTATTAATAAATTAGCTGCAATGTAGTTTTCTGAATTTAGCGATTTTGCTGTACTGTGCTCTTGGAAAGAATAAGGGTGTTTGCTGGAGAGATATGCAGTCTTTTCTATAGCTTGCACAGGAACAAGCTTGGAAGGATGCCATGAGCTACATGTTGAATTTCTTGCTATAATCATGGATTGTGATTCATATTAGAGATGAGTCTGCACAGTCAAAGCCTTATGCCTGTGCAAGTTCTCTTGCTATGGTGTCACATTATATTCTTTAGAGCCTTGCCAGGAAGGATATAAGGGACTGAAATGTCACTGTCCTTGGCAGCCTTCAGGTTTTATCAATCAGTGCCATATCAATTTTATTAAGTTTTAGGTGAACCTACATCTTTCTCTAAAATAACTCTTATTCCTAATAGAAATGAATATAACATTACTTTTACTTATTTTACAATCAGTGAATTTCCTGGTAGGAAAACAAGGTAAGAAACATCTGATAATGGACCTACTGTGAGCTGTTTAGAAATAATAATAAATAACTAACTAACCATGAGTTGGTAAACATTTGTGATATCATAAAAGCTGTGGTTTTCTGATTAAAAAGAAAAGAGCTGTAGGCTCTCAGAAGGACAGATTTAACTTCTGGATATTGTGATGTGTGTTATCTGCTTATGACAAAATGCTATTTTCTAACATAGAAAATTGTGACATAGAGACTGTTCAGGTAGTGATAGGTCTGGGAACACTATTTTTTTTTACTTTGTCTGAAGGTTATTGCTGTGCTTATGCCAGTCTCAGTTATTCCAAGTCATACACCAGCAGCATGGGTGTAATTTCCTGTTATTTTTTTTTTCTACTGATAGATAAAATGAGAAAAGATTATGACCAGACGATAGAAAGCAAAGATAAATCTCTGTTTTCTTTGGAACAATATGAGAGAAACTCAAATCAGATAAATGAATAGCAAACTTTTCTTGAAAAGATTTTGTATTTAAAAAGAGATCCATTTCATTGATTTGAGCTCTATAAGGAAAACTTATAGTTAATACTAATGATCAGAGTTAGTCCTTGTGACAGAACAAATCATGGAAAATTTTTCAAATTCATAAGAAGTGAAATATATCAATAAACATAAGATGTCTTAAGACATGCATATTCCATGTATGCATAAAGAAAAGGGATTTTCTCATATAAGTGTTTTATATTTCAATTTTTTTTTGCAGAACCAGGGATCAAACTCATATATTTTAAACTTCAAAAAAGTTTATTGTGCTGCAATAATAAAATACATTGTAATACAATCTTTAATTGTTAATTTGGTATTCAAGTTCACAGTGACGTCCTTCCATATATTTCTGTGAGAAAATCTATTCCAAGATTAGCTTCTTTTAAACATTCTACCTTGTTTAGAATTTGAGTCAAAAGTCACATGTTAAAGTATTAGAGTAAGATTATATCTTTATAATTATACACAATACATTGGTAAAGAAATTATTCTTATCATTTCTTAACAAATATGACCCAAATTATTCATCTAAAATGTGGTTCTCCTTCAGTGAAGTAACCTTGAAAGATTATATCTTTCTTCTAATGATTCAGTTTTTAAAAAATTCCTTCACATGATTGGGGTGAATGTTTAGAATTTTATATCAGCCTCAAGAGAAAATTTACCTCACTATTTATTGTCTTACTATACTTTGAGTCTAAACTGTGTTACTTCCTGGTTCATATTCTTGCCCTTATTCACCTGATTAGGCCTGAATAGTTTATTTCCATAAGCCACCGGACAGACAGATGGAATTTTCCATGTATGATATCAAGTATTCCAAGTAAAGTTTTATCATAATTCAAATCTTGGTACCATCTCAACATTAAATAGATGTGGTTGCCTCCCAAGTAGTGTTTTGTGGATGTGCCTTATTGAAAATGTTTGACATGAAATGGCTTATATGAATCTCTATCTATGTCTTGCATGCACAGGAGTGTTGTCTTTCAGCAGAAAACACCATGCTTTTTGTTGTTGTCAACTCTCACTTTTTGTCTATCGACCAAAGGCAAAGCAGCCCAGATCCCAGAGCTGAAGCCAGCTCACATCTGCATAGGTGTCCATGTGCACACATAAATTACACAGAGGTTTTCTTAGCAGCATACTTTTAGCCACCTCCAGACCTACTGAACTAGGACCATGAGGAGTGCAAACCCCAGAAGGAATCATTCTGTCACTTTTGTCACTCAAGGAACTTCTTCTTTAGTTGGAAAGATGTCTTAAAACCAGAAATTTTATTATTTCTTAAATTATGAGATAGCTAAATTGTTTTTTAGCCACTACTTGTCTTAAATGCTTCTTCTTCACCCCACTAATGAGGGAAGGATTCCTGCTCTGCAGTTGTGGGGATGGCTCAACATATGACATCGCACACTGGACAGATGATGCCCGTGTTCTGTTAGCCATCCATGCTCATATTCCAGGGAGATAGATGCCCTATACAGTGCTGGCGTTCATGGATGTTTCACTCAAAGTTAATCAGCAGGGCTGTGGGAGGAAAACTTGACTTCAGGAGTAAAGTGGGGTGACGTAAGTTCCCTGAAGAGGATAGGATGTCTAAATCATCCCATAGGCTGACAGGGATTAATGCTCATTACTCAGGATTGAGTAAGCACTGTGCTGTGGCAAGAGTGGTATAGACTTTGTGTGTAAAATTTTGAAATAAATATTGTAGAAAATGTAAACAATTGTTATAAGTAGTTTTTGCCTTTAGGAAGTGTTCAACTAAATAAAGGATTTGTAAGACTAATAAGTACAAAAATGCATTAAAAATAAGTCAAAAATAAGGACCAAAGTAATCAAAGTAGCAGAAGTCATTTCTACCTGAAGGGATCTTATCCTTTAGGCAGAGGATAAAGTTTGGGCTAGATCCTAAGAAATGGGTAAAATCTTAGCAGATAAAGGTAAGAAGGTAATAAGAGGCTAAGAAAACAGGCAAGAGGAAACACACAGACAGATAATCAAAGGACATGATCTGAGATTACAGGCAGTCTAGCTGAAGCAGAGAACGTGAAGAAGGAAACCCCTAGAATAAGAAAGACTAGGTTACATGGTGAAGGACCTTTAACATATATCTTATTTTAAAGTAATAAGAGCCAAAGAAGATTATGAGACTGACAATCAAGTAATCAAAGCAATTTACTTTTAATCTGGTGATTTCTCCCTGATGTCTAGAAGGAGAAGAAAGATAAGAGCTTCCCCTGGTCATTCTCTGTCTCTTGGCTCTACATGAGTTTTCTTCTAGTTCTTTGTTTGCTTGCCTACTATATGTCTGGTTCACTAGAAGGTAAACACTATGAGGACAGTTGATGCCTCAGTGCTGTATCATCAGCTCTTGGTGATGTGGGGTCAATAGTAAATGGTATGATAATCATGTCAGTATTGAACTGTAGGGTTTTAATTAATATCTGTTAATGGGAAGCTGGCTAGTTGCATGCAGTGAATGTTCTTCTCTTTGGCTACAAATTATGTTCTTGAGAAATGATTTGTACTGATCCTTTATTGGATATTTTCTGGTGTTTATAATAACTTGAAACTCTCCTGCTTCCCCAGCAGCCCATGGGCCTCCTTTCCATCCTTGAAGAGGAATGTCTGCTTCCTAAGGCCACAGACTTGACTTTCAAGACAAAACTTTTTGACAACCATTTTGGAAAGTCAGTTTATTTCCAGAAGCCCAAGCCTGATAAGAAAGAGAAATATGAAGTTCACTTTGAACTTGTCCATTATGCGGGAGTGGTGAGTTCCTCTCAATCTCCAACCTTGAATTTTCTTGGCTCTCTTTCAAGTGCACTCAAATTCCCCAGATAATATTGAAATAAAATGTGGATTAAATGAAGAGATAAACAAAGTACATGTAAGTTTCAGACAAAAGATAGTGAGCTTTTACCAGTCAGTAAATAAAATGTCCAGACTATAACAGCATTTCATTGCATAGAGTTGGACTCAAAACAAGACAGCTACAGAAAGGCATGGACACTATCTAAGTCATGCTTCTTTTTTATTTACCGTTTTAAACTCAATATTATTTTATATTGAATATTTTCATTTTGTTTTCCATAAAGATTCACTGTAAAGTAATAGTCTCCAAACCCTGGCCAACATGGATTTTAATGAATTTTATTGCCTCTTGTTTCTCCAGTGTGTGCGTTTGTGTGCGTGCATGCGTGTGTACGTGCGTGCGTGCGTGTGTGTGTGTGTGTGTGTTCTAATTCTAGGCAGTGGCTCTGCATGAAAGAGAAAGAGTACTGATAAAGGATAATGTAATATGTCACTCTAAAATGACCTGCCAACTGTCCCTCAAAAGGAAACTGTCAACTAAAAGGACAGATTTTCAGTTGTTTCCTTTGATATCTTGCAATGTTAAGTATACTGATATTTATAGTAAAACTCATTGTAGTTACTAGTGTTTCTCAGTGCTCACTGTATGACAATGACAGCTAGTTATTTAATCAATTATTGCCTATGAAGAACTACCGGGATGCCTTTCTTTTAAAGAAATAACATCTAATCCTCCCTCTTCCTCTACCCTTTTCACACTTCTTCCTTTCTTTCTCTTTCTTTCTGTCTCATTACCATCTTTCCATTCTTCCTTCCTCTGTCTTTCTTCTTGTTCTTTCCTTTCTTTTGACTCTATAAATGGTAAAGTTTGAAAATCTCTTTTGTTAATACTAAGGATTTCTGGAGTATCATTCAGCACAAGTACTTCAAACTTGTTTAAAATTAAAGAATCAACACATTTTCTGATTTTTTTTCAGCAACATACAATTTCATATGTTAATTTATATATTTCCTCCTTTTTTTGTGAAATGAATGCTTTTCCAAAGGTGCCTTATAACATCAATGGTTGGCTTGAAAAGAACAAAGAACTTCTTAATGAAACAGTGGTGGCTGTGTTTCAGAAATCTTCCAATAGATTCCTGGCAAGCTTTTTTGAAAATTACACTGGTACTGACAGTGGTGAGTCAATATTCCTTGATTTTTTCAACTTCCTAATGGAACTCACTAATGCTTCAGGTTTTAAACAAATTTGTGCTTCTTTCCTGTGATGCTGTTTCTGCTTTCTGTGGTCGGACCCTCCCCCCATTAGCCTTTTTGTTTTCAAGCAGGTAGCTTCTCAGGAAAATGTTGTCTATGTACTATGAGAGACACATTTTAAGGAGTCCATTTCTGGCCTGCTTTTACATTTTAGATCTAGATACAAAGAGAAAACAAAAGGAAACAAAAAAACAACCCCCAAAACAAAACAAAATACAACCCAGGTTTTAATGTATGATTTAGGGGCAACAACAAATTCCAAGTTGACATGGTAGATGACAAAGTTACAACAAATTTAGTTTTAGTTGTATAGATCTTAATTAACCTTCCTTACTATTCTAAAAGCAGGCAAAAATCTGGATCAGAAATGGTTTGCTGCATCCGCAGATGAGCAGGTTGCATTTCTACCTCAAGGCAAAGGCACACAGAGAATGGGAGTGAGCTACAAAGACAGCCTAGTTGGTCATCAATTTTATTTGAACACAGCTTGAACATCTTGCTGGTGGGATTTGGATAAGACTTAGCTACATGTTTGATTTTGGGGTAGTTTGGTTTTACATAAAGTTAAGTTCCAGTTCATTTTATGTACATAGAAACCTGAAAGCCAAGCTTAAAAGGTATGGAGGATGATTTTGGCCATGGGTGCACACATATATGTGCATGCACACATGTGTGTGTATATGTGTGTGTGCTAAATTTATTTCCCAGATATCTTGGAAATCTTTTTCACATTGTTCTATGTATTTGGGGTTAGTATAAGCTTCTTAATGGTAGGGGCTATAACTGCCTTATCTGCCTTATTAAATGGCAATCTCTGGCATGCAGGGAATGATTGCTTATGAGGTATTCTTTAGGTCACCTTACAACTAATTGTGTCCACGAGTTTGTCACACAGCATGTACTGTTAGGTAATGTATCTTACTTATTCCTTGCATGATCCTTCCAGCTATACGCAGAGGAGGCTTTCACCCTATCTTACAGCAGCAAGTACAGATGAGTTAAGAGTGGCATCAAGTTTATATACCCACTGAGTGTCAAAGTCCACAAAGAAAGCAAGAATTTCATTTCCTAATTTGAGGCCTGTTCTATTTTCCCTGTCTCTCAGAAACAAAGAGAACAGAGAGATGGACACATTTAGGGTTCATGCACTTAGATTCAGGAAATGTTTCTTCATCATTTTTCAGTGGATTTGAGGATGCTGAGCTTGAGTTGCTAACACCAATCCCCAGCTGAACTAACCACAGAGGCAAGCTCTCCTGTGCACAGCAAGGTTGTGCATTGCCAGCTATCAAATATTACCTGGGCTTCAAACACATTTTATTTGAACTTGGTCCAACAAGTTTTTAAAAAGTCAAACATATTTTCACATGTACCTGTGGATCTCCTTTTTTCCTTTGAAATTATGGAAAAGTGAAAAACTTGATCAACCTGTTTTCAGATCCACCTTGTTGTAGGGCTGAGTATGTGAGGTATTCTTTAAATAAGGTGGCACACTAACTTAACATCCTCTCTTGCCTTTTTGCCTTACACCCTGCTTCCTGTTAACTTCCAGTTCCTATTGGCATTATTGGGAACATCTGATTGACATGCTCAGGGAATGGAGAGAGAAATTAGCCCTTCGCAAAATCTTCAGCACATGACAACATAATTCAGTAGCATAGTTGAAATCCTGTGGGCCTGCCACAAGAGCAGGCAGAGAAATGGAAATGTTGTGTTTGGACTCCGCTAACCTTCAGGGAGTTCATTTGCCTGAGTCTAATATCATCTAAAGTGCCTCTGAGAAGTCCGCTAGGTAGTAATCACATAGGTTTTTATGGCTCCCACTTGAGTAATGTTCTGATCGTAAGTGCTCCAGAATGGATTGGACAGAGAATAGAAAGAAAATAGTTTTTAGCTCTTCAGGATGTACACCCTGTTGTTAGGAACTAGATGAGAATGTTCATGAATGCCTTCCTGCCTTTTTATTTGGTATTTCTTTAAGCCATCCCTGAATCTACAGTTAGAGGCAACTATTTAGCTCCAAGTTTTTATTCATCCAAACATTAAAGTGCCTGTAATCACCCATACTTTCTCTTAGGATAGCCAAGGAAATCCAAGTACTTTAAGCCAGATTATAGCTGTTTATTGTTGAATTACAAAATATAGTGGTTTTCGTCTTTATTTATGGAGATGACTAAAGTACAAAAAGGTCAAGCAAAAGACGTGGGGTCTCTTAAAGGACATCAGCGCTCAGGTCTCGTGGCATCGGCCTCCCCACAGGGGCTATGCACGCCCAAAAAACTTTTGGTTTTCAATATTAATAGTTGACCCACTTTCTCCAGATTCCCTGTGGATTTTGCCTTTGCTGCTGTACATTTTAGTGAGTTATCACTGCATAAATGTTTGCATGAGTTTGGCTTAGCATGGTTTCTTCTGCTTAAAGAAAAGAATAAAAGAGTGGGCTTGGGCTAGGGATAAGGCTTGGCAGTTCAAGCACCTGCCGGGCAAGCACAAGTACCTGGGTTTGATCCCTGGTGCCACATGCTGTGCCAGTCCTAGTACTCAGGTACTCTATGTCAGCCCTGAAACCTGGGGTGGTGGTGCACACTTGCAATCCCAGCACCGGGGAGGCTGAGACAGGAAGATCACTATGAGCCTGACCTCCATAACGAGACTCTGTACCAAATAAAATAAATAAAAGTTAAAAAAGAAAACAGTAGACTTACTTTTTTATTTTTTCCTTAATTTTATTGAGAAACAAATAACAATGAGACAGTTTCAAATCAAATTGGTAGGACAGTTCCAATAATTAACACATTGCATACTCTCTTCTTAGTGGTTATTTGCTGTACAAGATGCAGACATGATATCCTATTTACAAACACTATTAGACAAATCCCTCTATTCATTAAGAGAATGTAACTATATATCTATCCTAACCACTTTGAATACACAGATACAAAATGGACATTCATTTATATATCCCCTTTTTTGTTTAGTTCCATCATTTGAATATTATAGGTGTGTTAACTCAACAAAATATTCTTAAAGAGTCCAGTAATCCATAATAGTATTGAGTCTTCCGCTTGACTGGCAGTGTCAGAAATTGTTGACCTGAGTCCCCTACAGCTCAACATAACAGCATGGCTTTACTTCTTATACTTCGTTTTTATACTTTCCTTCTGGATGTTTAAGACCAAGGTAAAGCAGGACCTATGCAACAAGAGTTGTAGCTTTTGGATCTGATAAGGTCAGTGAAATCCCCTCAGGATTTATCCTGAGATTCTGTACCTCAGATTGTATATTCTTTTAGACTTAGTTTTTTAATAAGCCATGAAAGCAATATATATTTTGGGAAAAACAAGAAAAGGTAGAAAAACTAAAATTAAGAACATAAAAATTATCTATAATCTTACCTAGGGTAGTAACAACTATTAACTATTAACATATCTCTCAAGACTGCTTTTGTTTTTAATCTTTTATTTATTTATTTGGTACAGGGTCTTGCTACACAGCTCAGACTCAGAATGATCCTCCTGTCTCAGCCTCGCCAGGGCTGGGATTACAGGTGTGCATCACCATGCCAGTTTCAGTGGCTAGCGTGATGGGCCCAGGGAGGGCTGGCAAGGCATGTGGTGCCAGGGATCAAACCCTGGGTCCCCACACTTGCCAGGCAGGTGCTTAGACTGCCTTGCTATCTCCCCAGCCCATTGTATATTTATAGTAACCCTTAACTCAGCTAGGCTTAAATGTTGTGCAGGCATTCAGGATCATAATTTGTAAAATGCAGGTTTTATAGCATACTTTTCTATTAAAGTAAATCATAGAACTCTGTCTATATTAGTTATAGAGATCCATAGCATCATTTTAAAAGTTAATTGCTTCAGTTCTTGTCCAATTCAGTTTGTGACCAAAATTTCAGAAAGAATTAAGTCCATGAACTGAAGCACCACTGTATTTTTTTGTGTATATCTTTCTTCATAATTTAATTAAGAAAGTTCCTATTGATGGACATGTTGATTAATTTTTTCTTATTTTTTTGTGATGAATAGTTAATGTTTCAGGAGTATTTTTCATGATTACCTGATTGTGTCCTTAGGAAAAATTTCACTGATCTTTTGGGTTCAGATATTAGTATTTATCACCACTAGAAACAATATTGTCATATTGTTTCTAGAACTTCCACAAACTTACATTTCCATCATGACAAAAGAAGATGTTAAAATACCTTCTTTTATTTTTTTAAGGTCTACAATTTGGGGAGAAAAAACACAAGAAAGGCGCTTCAGTCCAATTGGTTGCATCTCTTCATAAAGTAATTCTCATTGTTTTTGTTTATGTATTAACTCTTGTGCAATCATTATTACTTATTTGATATTTCACATTTCTAAATTTAAAAAAGTGTCTGATGTGATCCAAGATGGAAAAGCTGAAGTCCACCTTGGTACTAATTCAAGACCCCAGAGGAAGCTGCTGGTGCCCTGGCCGGCTCCCTCCCTTAGCTCTGCACCCATCTTCCAGCTGACGGAAATACTGGCTCGTGAAATCTCCCAGCACAGAAGTGCCCTGGATCGGACTGGAAGCGGTGCTGCTTCCTTGCCCTCTTCTGCAGACGTCAGCCCCTCCCTCCCCTTAGAGGGGATCAACTGCTGTAGAATTGGTGTCTGTGTTCATAGGCCGTGTAGGGATCAGACTGAGGAGCACCACTGCCCTTTTCTCTGTCCCTTTGCCTATTCTGCTTCCTTTACATCCAAATACATCCGATGAGTCTATTCTACAAATAGAAAACTCAAAAAAATATATTTTCCAAGGCATTTTTATTGCTTCAACGTATGTTAACACTGTCAAACTCAAAACAGGTAAAATGATTTGCAGTTGAACTGTGTCTGTCAGATAAATATTGACTTGTCACAGGAAAGAAATAATGCTTGCTTGCTGAGCAGGGGATAATGTGGAATTCATCTTTTTATTGTTGGTATATGGCTTGGATATATAATGAACAGATTTAGATACATTTAAAAGACTTTTAAGTGATATTGCTAAGTGATTTTGGGTTTATCATGGTCTCCATTTTAGGAAAACCTCAATAGATTGATGATTAAACTGAAATCAACAGCACCTCATTTTGTGAGATGTATAAATCCCAATATGAACAAAATGCCAGGTAAGAACTAGATTTGTGTTTATTCTACCCTGGAAAATGCATCTTATTTTAGCTATGTTGAATGAATTTCACGGACCATTTACTGGTTACTTTTCCTTTAAGCATATATTTGCAGATTGGAAAATGAAATTAAGCTTCATGTGAGGTCTTTGGAACCTCCTTAAAGCTCCTTTTGGATTGAGATTTAAGTGGACATACAGAAGGGTTTCATAAAGCAGGCTCAGTTGGGTAATAACAGAATACTTGATAATTCCACTTAAATTTCTCCTTAAATTTGGATGTTAAAACTTGAATGAGCTCCTATGCTGTGTTTAGAAGGCAGAATATAGTAAAAATGAATCCAGTAATCAGTTAGAGGATTGAGATAAATATTTCAGCAGAAGGATGTTACTTGGCCTGGGTTACCTAAATTTACTATGTTCATAGTTCCTAATACATTTCTAAGTATTAATAATCCCTTTTTATCCTCCTCCCCAGTACTAACATCTCTTTCCCTAGTAACACCTGTACGTTTAAGTTATGTAGTTCTGAACAGTAGATTTTTTTTTTTGGTGAATTAATTAGGTGTTAGAGGGATGACGGGGTCAGAGGGGGTGGCGGCCACTTCAGTTTTTCTGCTTTTAATTCTCAAGACAATGTTTTACTGACACCAGCTGCATAGATTGCTTTCCTCACATCATGGGTCCGAAGACTGCTAGCCATCTGGAGAATGAGAGTCCTCCACAGAGCACTGGTTAAAGGCTATCAGCCTCACAGGAGCACATATGAGAAGCACGCAAGTCTTTACAGCACTAATCACCCTTGAAATATGAAGCCAGATACTGCTTATCCACATTTCTGTAGCTTTGTTTGTCCTGCATTTTATAAATCTGTTAAAACTAAGAACCCAATCTGGACTGTCCATGGCTTGTAGGGGAAAGTGCGATGCCAAGCAGTAATACAATGATTGCGCTTTTGGCGCTGTAAACATTTCATCTTTATCCATGGGCTATGTTTTTGGCTCACTATTTCTTGTCAGCCATCTGGGTTTCTGGTTTTGTTAGTTTTTAGTCTGGGAAAATGACTTCGAGCTTCAGAGCTGCTAGGCAGGCATTGTACCACAGAGCTACATTCCTGCCAACTCTCAGGGGGATTTCTGAATGCATCTAGGGATATTGCTTTCATCTAGCAAGGAATCTAATTATCCACTCTACTTTGGAACAATTTTGTTACCTATTAGTTATCTTCCATTGAGACAACTCCAATTTCAGCCATTTCTCAAGAAAACTTTCATATCTAATCAAAATAATTCTTTATATATACTTAAAGGAACAAACATGTCTGATCTTAAGCTGTCTGAAGTCTACCTTTCCCCCCTTGTTATACGTGATCTATTCTGTCCACAAAAAGAATCAGACTGCAGGTACCTATGGCTTAAACTTGTATCTATCATGCTGGATACAGCAGAGCAGGCCTTGGTGCTTCTTGTATTATCCTAGATGACTTGAAAGCCAGATACAGTGGCTCCTTTGGTGGTTTTCCAAGAGATTCTATTAGAGACTTCAGCTGACAGTTGTGAAAGTGCTTTTTTTTAATGTGCAAAGAGGTGAAAGCAGGTTGCTTATACTACAGAATAAAACTAAAGGGCTGTCAACACAATGAGCAGAGAATGAAGGCTAGGATGTGGCCAAGTTATCCTAGGCATAATTGTGAACAGAACTTTGTGGGAAGAACTCTCCTTCCTTTTTGTTGCTCCTTTTGTTCTGTACACCTTGCTTAGCGATGTCAGTTTCTTTTCATATTGTTGCCCTCTCTAATTCATTTTTGGTTGACAAATGAATATGATACCAACATTAACATCCTAGCAAATATGGAAACAGTTCTAAGCAGGAGTGTTTCTTTATACATTATTATTTAACCTTGAACATGTTGAAAGAGTTTTCTGTATGTCATATTGCAATGCTCTTGGGTAGTGGGGTAGATACTGTGACTGCTATCAGATTGGAAGTAAGTAAACTCCAGTAACCTATCACAGAGAGTACATCTAAATCAAACTAATACTCTTTAGCTCAAGAGGGAGCAATTAGAAGGAAGTCTGAGGTAATGTTTCGAGGCACAGAATGTGATTCTTTTTTTTTTTTTTCAGGCGTAATAGACCCTTCCTTTATCCTGCAGCAGCTGCGGTGTAATGGTGTCTTGGAAGGGATTAGGATATGCTGTGAAGGTTTTCCAAACAGAATGCTGTATGATGATTTTACACAAAGGTAAACATACATTTTAGATGCCAAAAAGCCTGAGGCAATCCATTCTGTTTTGCTCTCTTTCCCGGTGTTTAGGGATTCATTGTTTGGTTAGTGTTCTGCAGACTGTAAATCGATGTGTTTTGGTAGTGGTGAGATATATGATGTTCTATGATGACAGAGTTCTATTATTATTTTCCTCTAAGTCCGATACTCACACCAATGTAATATCCTTAAATCTCCATTAATGGCTAATAGATGCACATATAGATGAAATATACACAGAACAAAGACATGGAGCCTGAACTGCATCTCTGAAATGCTGTATATCTTAATGGTTGCTGCCACCTGAGCAGGCTGCCCCTTCCCTAGGAAGTCTGCAAAAGGAAAGAAGTTCGCAGTGTATGAAGAAGGAGGCAGGGGAAGAGTCTATGCCATCCATTCTCCAAATTCTAAAAGTATAAATTATAGTCAAGAATTTGAGAAAAATGTGGACTATAAAACATACGCATTTGGGAACTAAAAAACATTTTTCTTATTTTTGTCAGCTCACTATTAGTGTGAAAAAATTTTGCAAAAGAATTTTATGTATCTGCTGTTCAATTTCCTGACCCACATGGTAGAAATACTTAGGCTTGCCTTCCTCTCCTTGCTTTTCTGGTCCATCCCTCGCTTCCTAATCAAGCAGTAATTAGATGGAGTTGATCTGTAAAACAATATGAAAAGCACAAGCAGTTATACCAAAAGTAGGGATTGTTGCTTACCTTTCCATTATTGTTATCAAGAATCTTGTGAAAATTGGACATCTTGGTGGGAGAGGTAAATGTTTGCATCCTCTGCTACCTTATTGGTCCAGATTAATCTTCACATTTGAATCATAAGATCCTCTGATCGTATTTTAAATTAGGTACCGTGTTCTGAACCCACGGATCTTTTCAGAGAGCAAGTTTGTGAGCAACAAAAAAACAGCAGAAGAACTACTTGATTCCTTGGAGACAGACCATACTCAGTACCAATTTGGAATCACTAAGGTAAATAAGACATTTCAAGGAATGCATTTGGAGAAAAATTAGCATGTGCATCTGAAAATATCCATGAATGTTTACATAATAATATAAGGTATTCTTTAGATCTCAAGACCAGAGAAAAGACACACTGAGATAATGTCACAAGTAGAAACTTTAGTGCTGTTTGAAAAATAATATCCAATGCTTCTTAAGCTTCAGTGTGACTACATTTCCATTTTTTACAATTAGTTATCTATGTAAATTTGTAACATAAAAAAAAACTGGATTGGCATTATAATACTAGGAAATTTATATAAATCCCAACAAGAAAAATGTGCCTCCGCTTCCTGGAGTTAACTGATTATAAACTAATTCATCCACTGTTCTGTTTCTGGGCATAAATTTTAGAAGACCGTTTGAATTATTTAACAACTTTAAACTCAACACAACTATCCAGAAATAGAAAAGTAAAACAAAGTGAAGTTCTTTAAATGTGATTCTCTAAACTCTACTTTATCTGAAAGACTTGTGTATTTTGAGAAACTTTTCATAGATTTATTCTTTTGTTATGTATTTAGTATAGTACAGGGTCTACAGGGTCTCACTACATAGTTCAGATTCATAGTGTTCCTGCTGTCTTCAGCCTCCCAAGTGCTGGGCTTACAGGCATGCACCACCACACCCAGTCTCATTCACCATCTCAGCGCACCCCAGAGGCAAGGCAGGCACGGCACACCGCGGATCAAATCCCGGCCCCTGCATCTTCTTAAGCAGGTGCTTTAATCTGCTGAGCAATTTGGCCAGCAGATTTACTCTTTCCTGGGTCAACAGGTTGTTCCTACTGACATCAGTAACACTATGGACGAAGAAGAGTAAGAGGACATTAAGTGAAGAAATCATACAAAAAGAACTCTGTATTATGTGTTTATAGAATATTACTTGATTCTTATATTTAGGATGCCTGGCAGTCAGTGTTTTTGTTTGTTGTTTCCAATGATTTTCAGTAATGGCACCTTGCATGCTTAGTTATTTTTGCTGCATTCCACTCATCTGGGCCAGAACTCACATGAAGCACATATATGAAGGGCATGTTCACACTGAGGCTCACGTATATGAGAAGAGACTGCAAGTATTGAGGGGATGCTACTCACTCTCAGGTCGTGTAAGGGACCTTCATGCAGGCACTGTGCATGTTTCCATGATACGTGGGCTCCAGTATTTTCACTCCCCTCACCTTGGTTGTTATTAATTCTTTTAGAAAAAGTTACGTCCTGTCACATCAGGATCTAGTTTTTAAATATTTTTTATTTGCTTAAAATCTTAAGGCGCTATTATGAAGACAGAAAGAGCCCATAGGATTTTCCATTACCCTCAGTACCTGGAGATATTGATGCTGTTCCTCCCAGACTCTTTGGAGCACTGCATGCCTAGGCACATCTTAGAAGCTTAAGCCATATTCTTTAGACATTTGAAATAAATAAGAGGAAAGATGAGGTACATTATTTTTTAAGCATCCAGTGTACCACAAGATTAAGTAAAATATCCTTTGCAAATTTTGGATTTAGAAAACCATATTTTCAAGACATTGATTTTACACATTAAATTAAACCTGGGAATTGATTTTCTTGTCCCCCAAGAAATTCACTGGTTCAAAGTACTTAGCCAATACTTGCATGATACTTAGGATGAGTGAAACTAATATCTGCCTTGCTTCTTTTAGGTGTTTTTAAAAGCTAGCTTTTTTAGTCACTTGGAAGAAAAGAGAGATGAGAGACTGTCCCAAGTCTTCACATTATTCCAAGCTAGAGCACTAGGCAAACTGATGCGAATCAAATTCCAGAAGATTCTCAAAGAAAGGTATGATGCCTCTACCCTCTATCACTATTGCTAGAGGAATTGATGCCTCAACCAGTGCAACCGTACCTCACTGCCTTACAATAGGCTGACAAAGAGCTCCCCTTTGCCGAAGATGTCTTAAATATATTTATTTAAATTGTGGCACACAAAAGATGGAAGAGCATAAAGAGTTGTAGTGCCTTATACAACCAAGTATAATCATAATTCTGATGCTTCTACCTTCCCGTCGGGTGGGACTGTATAACATCTGCAAGTGTGGACGTCTGAAGGTGATCTGATTCAGTTGAAAGCAGAAGCATGGTTTCTCTTATATGAGAAACACAAACAAAATAGATCAGAGATAAGTAGGAGATAGGGAGACCTTCAAATACTGCCCCAAACTAGAAATTCCACATTTTAAAAAATATTTCAATATATACGCTAAGTGACTTTATCTTTACTAATAGTTTATCTTTGTTGGTTGAAAAGAAAGATTTGTGTTATTATGTTTCATTTTTGTATAAATCTTTTGGTTTGTGTGTTGTACTCTGAGTAACTATTTTGAAGATGGTATACACCACAACAACTATTGTTAGGCTTGTATTATTATGAGTTTTTTTCATAAAAAAGCAAACTTAAAAGTTTGTGTATACAGCCTGCTCTCAAGTTTGTGGGGAAGTTGGTTTCAAGGTGTAGAAGTATTTTGACCACTTTATTACGTCCCTGAGGTCTGAAGCTGTGGCCTTTGATGGCATGTCATCATAAGTTTATTATTTTATTGCAGGGAGGGCTATTTAAGTAAAGTTTTATCACTACTTTAGACATTTAGGTTTAGTTTTGTCTATTCTTTAATGGAGTTATGAAAATCAAGCTAGCAAGATCTCCAAACTAAGGGACTGTAAGCAAAGAATTATCCTCACTAGCAGGGAGAGGAGATGCCCTTCAAGGCAACCCCCCTGCCTGCAGGGTCTGCTACCTCCAGCCAGACCCCGCTTCTTAAACACACATTCAGCAGTGAGCTCATGGATTAGTCTCTGGATGAGGTTAGTGTCCCATGACACGATCAATTTACCAAAGTGCACTGATGAAATCTTTGGAGGGACATCTCTGATCCAAATTGTAATAGACTCCAAACTGTAACACATAATTTAGAAGCCATTTATGGAGGAAAAAATTATAACAGAACAGAAAACAACTGTCTTTTTATGAGATGCAGTGTAAAATACATATATATATATTTTTTTTCAGTAGTGGAAATGCTTGAAGAACCTATTCTAGAAAACAGTGTTAACCATTGTATAAATCATTCAATTCCACAATATGTAGTGCAGCAGGAATGTGTCCTTTGTTGCTGATAGCTTCAACAAAAAAACTTCTAACAAATAGTTCAAAGTACAGGAATAAAAGTACATACAAATAGAATTTTTCATTATATCAATTTTTATTGTTCTATCACATGGATTAAATGCATGAAGTGTAAATGAAAATGAATATTTTCTTTAAGTAATCAAAACAAGTCTTATCATTAAAAATAATATTTCAGAGGTTCACCAAAAACCTTCAATGCCAGCTTTGCAATTAATTCTAGGGAAATACCCTGAGACATATTTTTGTTTTCCTAGGGCTTCCTTATCATTTTGCTTTCTTTCAAATAGGAACAACAGATATGTAACTAAGTTGGCTTTCCATCGTGACTTCTAAAAGATATGGATAACCCACAAATATCATAGCACTTGCTCTGCTTCACCTACTTACTTTTTTTTTTTTTTTTTTTTTTTTTTTTGCGGAACCAGGGATTGAACTCAGGTTCTTGCACTTGCCTGGAAAGCACTTATTCTACTGAGCCATTTCCCTGACCCCACTACTTCACCTACTTTTTGAACTGCTATATAATTCAAAATGTGCAAATGATTTTTATACCTAAACTGGTAGTATTAATAAACACATAAAATTAGTTCAAGAGGAAGAAAACGTTCTATTTCTGCTGAACACAAAAATTGAGGTAAAACAATATACTCTACAAAAAATGAAATGTTAAGCCAAGTTCAAATTGTCAGACAAGTCTTGCCATAGTGTTAAAAGTTGTGAAATTAGAGTGGTTTGAAGGCTTTCTGGATGACGGCAGGAAGTTTTAGGTTTACCATCCTTAAAGCCTTGCTACATTTTTCTTATAAAGTTTAAATGATAGAAGCTGTCACCGCCCAAATTAAACATCACTCATCATCCGGGAAGCTAGTATTGTATTTCTTCTTCTAAAGATGCTCTGGCAAGGATCTTTATATGAGGTTTCTTTAGTGCAGCTTTTTAGAGTAAACAATTTTATTTTCCCTGGAAGAATATTATGAAGTCTGAGGGAAAAATCTACTCATTTAGTAAATTTGGCATGCAAAAACTATCAACAAAACAAAGTATAAAATTGCAAGCAGCACACAAAATGAATGCTAAAGAATAGCAGAATAAGCATTATGTAGATATTTTAATAGAGTATTACAAAATCTGTAGATTGTTTTCAAACTATATGGTGCAATATAACCTATGTTTACTGTTAACAATAATTGTATATATTCATTGACTGAAAAACTATTTCCAAGAAAATCAGAAAGAAACCTACAACATATGCACGTCAATGTGTTTTTTTTTTTTTTAAACAGACTACAGTGTCAATTGGGACGTTTTCATTATGTGCATACTAGAAAAAATATTTCCTATTCTCTTCTAAATCAAGAGTTTATAAATAATTTAATGGTGTTCAAGAACTACTTAGAATTTTAAAGTAACACTGTGTAAAGATTAGGCGATTTATTTTAGAAATCTCCGGGAGGCACAGGCAGCTGCTGCCTCCCTCAGCCAGGCAGTCAGGCGGAGAGGAGAGCGGCAGGAGAGGGGAACTGAGGCAGGCAGGAGCAGCTCTTCTCTTCAGTGGGCTGTCATCACAGTACCCTCCCAGGCCTTGCCCTTCTTCTTTCCCCCTCAAAATATAAAACATAGTCCTTGAATTTGCGATAAATTTGCCTATAAAACCAACTAGATGTGGTGTGGAGATAGAGCTCACAATTTTTCCAGGCAGGTGCTTAGACCCCTGAGTTATCTCGCCCACCAGAGCTCACAATTTTGACTCAGTTTATTTAATGGTTCTAGGCTTGAGGGTTCTTTTTAAAAATGTATTTGGTTCAGGGTCTCACTATACAGCTCGGACTTGTAGTGCTCCTCCTGTTTCATCCTCCCCAGTGCTGCGATTACAGATGTGCACCACCACTCCCAGTCTCTGTGGCCATCTTGGCGTGACTGGGGGCAGGGCCGGCCCAGCATGTGGTGCCGGGGATGCAACCCAGGTACTTGCTCTTGCCTAGGCAGGCACTTAGACTGCTAAGCTATCTCTGCATCCCTTGAGGGTATTTTGCTGAATTGTTTTAGCTATACATTTTTTTTTAAAAAACTTACCGTTATTCAAAATTGTCCAATTTAATAATTATTATTCTTAAGTTTGTACTGTGTGTATAAGTATGTCCCAGAACATAATCCTAAATTATTGTATTCCTAGAGTGTTTTCCTGCATTGTTGATTTGTGCCTTGTCTCCCTACTCTTGTTCATTTGTCCCCCAGGTTTACTTAGCCTATTTGATAAACCACTGTCCTCTTCTTTCCTCCCTCCCTCCCTCCCTCCCTCCCTCCCTCCCTCCCTGCCTCCCTCTTTCCTTCTCTCTCTCTCTCTCTCTCTCTCTCTCTCTCTCTCTCCCCTCCCTCCTTCCTTCTTTTTTTTTCTTAATCTTTATTTATTTATTCATTTATTTGGTTCAGGGTCTTGCTACACAGCTCCAGCTCATAGTGATTCTCCTGTCTTAGCCTCCCCAGTGCTGGGATTGCAGGCTTGTGTTGCTTATGCCCTATCTCGGTGGGGTGTGCCCGAGTGTCTCAATTACTCTTCTCTCATTGCTGGGACAAATACCTGACACTCAAAATGAAGGAAGGAAAGGTTTATTTAGTTCACAGTTACTGAAGGGTTCAGTCCTTACTTAGCTGGCTCCCAGGCAGAGCAGCACATGGCAGAGAGCAACCTTTCATGGTGGCAGTAAAGAGCAAGAGAACAAAATGGAGGAGTAGCAACAACCATGCAACATAGAGAGGAAATCTGTCTCTCTCATGTTACACTCAGACTATCTGCCCTAGGCTCACACCCATAATTCCCAGCAGTGCTAAAACCCATAATCCCAGTGGATCATGAGTTAATCTCAGACCCTAGAAGTCCTCACCCCATGACTGCATGAGGCTTTGGGGGACAACTAGACACAAATCATGACACTGGGGTTGCGGGGCCAGCACATTATGTGGTACCGGGGATCAGGGATGGAACCTGGGTCTTTGCACTTGCCAGGCAGGTGCTTGGACTTCCAAGCTCTCTCCCCAACACCCAGACTAGTTCATTTATTTCTGACTTCATCTTTACTCTTTCCTTCCTTCTACCTGGTTTAAGCTTACTATTTTATCTGTTTTTAATCTTTGTGTGTGTTTTAATTGTAATGCCCTTTGCACTTTTTAATAGAATTATTTATTTTATTGCATTTTGATGCAATCCTATTTGTCTATTTTTGATTTTGTTCCTGCACTTTGAAAGTTAAGCAGCAATCTTAGCAAGTTTTTCCTTGTGTTTTCGTCTAGCAGTTTATAATTTTAGGTTTTACCTAGAAGCCTTTTATTCATCTTAGGTTGATATCTACATATGGTGTGAGATTCAATTCCAATTAATCATGTATCTGATTTGCCAATGCAATTGTAAGGGAAAATGTCTTTTATCCATTTAAATATTGATAGACACTTTAAGTGATTTTATATTTTTGTTACTGCAAGCACAATCCAGCAATCTCAGTATTAGTACATGTCCAAAGGAAATAAT